AAGGCTAACGCCCGACCCCGAGATCCGGTGAATGGATTCGAAAACGGGAAAACTCAACTGTTTAACTCTAGGGGAGTTGGAAAATGTATTTTCAAAAATAGTGGAGTGTTCCTTTAACAATAAATCTTTCTTAAGCACCAATTTGGCATATTAGAATGATTTCTGAAGGATCATGTGACACTGAAGACTGGAGTAATGGCTGCTAAAAATTCAGCTTTGTGATGTAACTACAGAAGAGTCTTAAATAGGAAAAATATCGAAACTCTTTGGTCATTTTTGAGCGAGATGCTAATGGTCTAATCAGATTCAATGACCTATGCTAAGCTACAGCTAAAAGTGCTACCGCCAGACCCGGAGATCGGCTGAATGGATTCGAAACGGGAAAACTCAACTGTTTAACTCTAGGGGAGTTGGAAAATGTATTTTCAAAAATAGTGGAGTGTTCCTTTAACAATAAATCTTTCTTAAGCACCAATTTGGCATATTAGAATGATTTCTGAAGGATCATGTGACACTGAAGACTGGAGTAATGGCTGCTAAAAATTCAGCTTTGTATCACAGGAACAAATTACATTTTAAAATATATTAAACTAGAAATCAGTTATTTAAAATTGTAATAATATTTCACAATATTACTGTTTTTACTGCATTTTTGATCAAATAAATACAGCTTTGGTGAGCATAAGAGACTTCTTTCAAATAACGAAAATCTTACCAACCCCAAACTTTTCATCTGTAATATATGTTTCAAAGCTAATGATGTAGCAGATGTTAGAAACTCTATATGTAAGTTTTAACTACCTTGGTGCTTGCTGATGGTCATACATAGTTAATGAGTGGCTGATGCTGAAGGGACGGTAAGCTGGCTAGTAATAGACTTTCCTACCTCTCTATTCCCAGTGACGTCTACCTAGCCTCTTCTTTTTCTCTGCACATATTCCCACCTCTTTCGGCTCAGTGGACTTTCACATTAGCGCAAACTCCATCACATATTCCCCACTGATTGCTCAACCTGTGCTCTAATACATTTTCAATGAAGGCAAAAACAAAAGAATATTTTGTATTCCAGCAGGGATGATTAGCCAAAATGGCTAATCGAGCAATTACGCCACAGTAAAGCTTTTAGATGTTTTGATATATAGAGAGGTGAGCCGAATGTAGCCAATGGATTTAATTATGTGGAAAACTAATTCTTGCATGGTGGTAAAACTAATTATGACTGATTGCTTTGAACCATTATAATGGAAATATGGACAAAGTACATATCTACATATCTCCGTAGTGGTGTATACACAGGGGGCCCCAAAAAAGTGAATCAAAATCTAAATTACAGCTGGAAATAAACAAAATTTTAAGATTTTGTGGAACGCAAAACATAGATTTTAAAACCTTATAGCGTTTTTTTTTTTTTCAACTTTTCACTCAAATTGCAGTGTATATAATATAATTTTTTATCAAATCAGAACTACCAGCCACCATTTGAATCTCTGAGCTGGAGATGGTGATCAGTGGAAGGATGTAAAGCAGGATGCTGAAATATGGCCATCACTCATTACCCTGGAGTCACCTTCACACCAATTACCCCACCAACAAATCTATGTTAGGAACAAAAGCCATTAAAAAGCCTGTTCAGAAGGGGCTGATAATGTTCTGGACAATTGACCATATGAAAAGGGACCAAGGGTTTGTGCAATCTGTTGTGACACTGTTAAAATGTGGAGTGAAAAACTACAAATAGTCTTTCAGTAAGACTCTCAAGAGTGTTTGCAGAGTTTTTCAGCAGGCTGGAAAAACATCCCCCTCACAGGAGGAAGCTGAGATAACTACTGCTAATGTGTTAGCAGGGGGTCACATTAAACAGGTTTTGTTTTCTGGTCAACATCAACAAGTGTGGAAACACATTGTGTATGTCTGGAAACACAGCAGTTAATTGGAGAGATGTTTAAAACACAAGTGGCTTCAACATATGCACAGCACTTGTGAAAAACTGCCATTCTGATTATCTATACTATTTGTTTGCAAATTATCAAGCCAGTGTAAATATAGATTGTTCACTGAGAAATAAACAAACAAGATACTTTATAAAGAGGGGCTGAAATAGCACAAATCAGTTCTTAATTAGTACATAAAATATTTAAACTTCATTAAAACAAAATAAATTTACTTAAAATTGAGTGGCCAAGTTTCTTGCTTAATCATAAACTTCATTACGTTTCATTTGATTTATAGTTAAAAAATTATAACTAACAGGGTAAGAAAAATAACATTAACTCAAAGATACATTTTATATATAAAAAACGCAATTTTGCTTCAAGGAAACCTCAAGGGCCATCTTAAAGGGATAGTTTACCCAAAATGGAAAATTCTGTCATTATTTACTCACTCTCATGTCGTTCCAACCCCATAAGACCTTCGTTCATCTTCTGAACACAAATTAAGATATTTTTGATGAAATTCAAAAGCTTTCTGACCCTGCATAGACAGCAACTCATCTACCACATTCAAGGCCCAGAAAGGTATAAGGACATCATTAAAATAGTCCATGTGTTCTATGTCAGAACGCCAGCTCCTGCGTCAACAGCATCACACGCATGTGTTGTGATACTCTCATGAACGCGTGGTGAAGACTGACATAGAAAATTACAGTTGAACCACTGATGTCACAAGGACTATTTTAACAATGTCCTTACTACCTTTCTGAGCCTTGAACATGGTAGTTGCATTGCTGTCTATGCAGGGTCAGAAAACTCTCTGATTTCATCAAAAATATCTTAATTTGTATTCCGAAGTTGAACAAAGGTCTTCCGGCTTTGGAACGACATGATGGTGAGTAATTAATAAAGGAAATTTAAATTTTTTGGGTAAATTTATCCCTTTAACTTATTTTAGAATTTTATATATTTTATGAACATCTAAAAGTCTTTATCCAAAATATTTAAATTAACAACTGCCATTTAATATACACGGTATATGTATGGCTTAAAATGGCTTAATCATTCAAGCTTCAAGCTCAATATAATCATTAATAAAATCAAAACAAGGGTAAGGAACTGTACTGAACACAGGTGGCCTCTTTACTGCAAACTCAAACTATACATTTCTTCATGCGCTTTCCCAACAGTAGTGAGCAGAAGCCATTATAACATGCCGTCCGCAATTATCCACTCTGATTAAAGAAACTTGCTTAATGTAATTACTTTGTACTTAAAAGATTCATTTCATCTTTTGGAAGTGCAGCACAGATCTTGTTTGTGTCAGAGACTATTATCTTTAATGAAATCTGACAATTTAATTTGTGCATGATGGCAGTGAGGTTGCAGTGAGTTCCAGTGGATGAGAGGAAGTGGCGTTATTAAAGGACTCTAGCCTATAAAGACAACATGTCTGATGATTGTCTGTGGACTTTGGCACACCGGAGTCCTCAAGGACAATCACTGACCATCTGATTAACATCTCATATCACATCGCTTACACTGGTATGGGTCAGATTTTTATAGAAATAGTTTACCCAAAAATGAAAATTTACTAAAAACGTTTACCCTCAGGCCATCCAAGATGAAGGTGGGTTTGTTTCTTCATCTGAACAGATTTGGAGAAATCTAGAATTACATAACTTGCTCACCAGTGTATCCTCTGCAGTGAATGGGTGCTGTCAGAATGAGCGTTTACACAGCTGTTCTTATTATTGGGTGAACTATGCCTTTAAAAAAGAATAAATAAATAATGTTGCAGCTCATGAAGTGACTGATTAGCATGCAAATAACAATTATATTTACTCACCAAAGCCATTTGGGGATTGTTAATTTCGGACCCTGTTTACACCAACTCCACTAGCTACTGTAGGTTCATTTGCTTTCTGCTCTGATAAACTGTGCTGTAAAACTAGTGTACCAGAAAGTGGCTTTCAATTTAATTTGTGTTTTTAACTACTGCATAATAAATAACCTTTTCATTGAGTGTTTCAAAATTGTAGAAATCAAAGTGAAATCTCAGATGTTTGCAACCTAAATGCTAAAAAGTGCGACAGGGTGCTTTTGTGTAACCACAAGGAACGCATAAATGACTCCCTGATCAGCAACTGACGCAAATCAGTTATTTCATTTATTTCAGTTAAATAAACAAGTCCAACTTATTTCTCCAGACGGGTGGAGATTGGATATCCCCATCAGAGAGCGTAGCCTGATCCGCACATTATTCAGCTCCAAAGCTGCCGTTCTGTCATGAGCAATTGATCCACATTCCGTGGGGGAAGACAGAGACAGATTAGGACCAATATTTGAATGAGCAAATACACATAAATATGACTAAAGTAATTAACGACAAACGAATGGAAAGAACAGATTAATTATCTTGCGGATCACTGGGGGACGACTCTTATGTTACTGCTGCTTAACTACCTCCTCACTCCACCAAAGCTGAGACGAACAGACGAGCAAACAACAGAAAAACTGATAAACAATGCGTGCTGATGCACTGCGCTCTCTGAGGGAGGCTGATGGAATTCATTAGGCTTCTGTGATTATCAATTAAAATCCAAAAGCTCTTTGAATTAAGACAATTGTGTTTCTGAAACATCGAAACTGATGTTGTGGATTTGAGTGGGATGTTTCTTACCCGGCTGACTCCACGGCCGCGGTCCTCTCCGTAGTTGGTGCCCAGGATCTCAAAGTAGATGTTGGGGTTAGTGCCATTATCATTAAACTCCAGCAATCTGGTCAGACCACTTACACCTCCCTGCAAAAAAACAAAAACAAAGTGATGTATAAATCAAATGATTAAGTTTGACATGTGTTTGACATGGCTGCCATCTAATGAAAACCATGTGGATAAAAATGTCTCATTAACCACTTACACATTATATATGTGTGTAATTATCACCCCACTAGTGGCACCACAGAGAACTGCAAATTAGGGCTTTAACACACTGCTGTCATCAGCTAGAAAGTCCTGCCCGTAAGCCACACCATTGGTTGAGTCAATACTGTTGTGTCAACCCAGTCAGACCAGTCAAACAAAATGGATAGAATGGTGCCACCAGGGAGGTCTTTTAATGTGTCATTTATGCTTTGTGTGCTATTCTTTAAGTATCCAATAATAATAATAATAATAATAACAATATACACTATCATTCAAAAGTATGGGGTCAGGAAGTTTTTTTAAATACTTTTATTCAGAAAGGATGCATTAAATTGATTAAAATTCACAATAAAGGTATTTACAATGTGACAAAAGATTTATGTTTCAAATTAATTATGTTTTTTAACTTTCTAGTTATCAAAGAATCCTGAAAATCTCGTTTCTCGATTTATACAAAAAAGCAGCATAACTGTTTTCGACATTAATAATTATAAGAAATGTTTTTTTGAGATCAAATCAGCATATAAGCAAAATAGAATGATTTCTGAGGGCTAAAAATTCAGCTTTGCCATTAGAAATATTTTACATTACAAAATTAAAATAAATAAATAAATAGTTTATATTTAATAACCTCGACCCCTTGGGGTGCAAATTTTATGTCATAAAGGGGGAAGAAAATCTCTTTAATGCCTTTAATCAGAGCGTGGCACAGTGGTTTGTGCACATGTTCCAACATATTACAGTATAGAGCTCATGTAGCAGATGAGTGTTTTGAGTCCAACTTGTGAAATTTGCTGATTATGCCCTCTTGTCCCTACCATTTTTTCCTCCTCTCTCTACTGTCTCTATGAGCAAAAAGGTCTCGCTCTTGTCCTCCCATTTTTTTGTCAGCACCCTTAATTTGAACTCCAAAATAACTCCACAGCATCATTCCAACCTACAAAAATTCCCAGTCCTAAACCGCATCCAAAACATGTCCTGCCCAGCGACAACCCACATGAACAGACAGATAATTGTTGTAAATTCACTCTACCAATACCAGTGCTGACTGAACGAATTAGACAGCCAATTATAAAAGCTGATGAGCGCTTTCCAAACGAGTTCACCAACTGCTGCTTTATAAAGCCGATACACACAAACGTCCCCTAATTAAGCTGTAAAGCAATGTTCCAGTCCAAACAGTCCTGTGGGAATTGAATACAAGGCCATTATGCAGCTGATGTACAGTAAAATAAGTATGTTACACTCCGTGCCATTTCAATATATTTATATATTGCATGCCTGCACTCCCAGACATCCCTTCGAAACGAGGTTGTTAAAATCTAGGCAGATTCCAAGGTGGTACGAGCCAGTGTGTTCTTGCGGTCACCCAGTGTCTGAATAAATCGCCCTATCTGCTTTAATACCACTGTCACACATGTGAGAGCCGGCCGAGAGGTGATATCTCTACTGTGGGATGGCAGGGAGGATCAGATACATGTGGATACAGGAGGAACAGTACATCCCTTAGGGGGTAAAGCCGTTTCCCACCAAGTACGGTGTTAAACCAGCACTCAGTCACTAGCCATGTAACATCGACTGTCATCTCACCCCAGGCAGTGAGCCATTTCTGTGGCCAAGCTGTACACCAGGCAGACAGAAGGGAGGAGAGTTTCACTGTACCACAACATCTCCCCCTCTCCCCAACCGGCACCCAGATAGAGATTCATTACGGTCCTCCAAACAGTCATTCGGTTTCCAATGCAAATGCATCCAAGGTCAAACTTCCACTCAAAAACACATCTCTTTAATCACAGCAGGGCTCAGTGTTAGGAACTTTTCTGTTGGCCTGGTCACGTTTTGCTTCATACTGCCAACATTTTCACAGGCCTTTATAGTTTTAACAATGTATTTATGTGCCTGAATGCCATGCCATTAAATGCTATGGATAGTTCACCCAAAAAATGAACATTCATTATTCACATCATTCCAAACCTGTATTACTTTCTTTCTTCTATGGAACTTTTTACATATAGTGAAAGTTATTGAGACTGGAGCTCAAAAGCTATAAAAATGGAAGGAAAAAACTGTATAAAAGTAGTACATATGACTTGTGCACTAGGCTATATTCCTAGTCTTCTCAAGCCAATATGATAATTGTGTGTGACAAACAGACCAAAATTGAAGTCTTTATTCACTAAAAATCTTGGCATGTGCCCTAGATCTGGCTGCAAGTAGTGACGTCTGATTCATGAATGAATCATTATTGTGATTCATATAAAAAAATGCATTGATCCAGTTCACCAAACCGGCTGTTTTCCACTTGGATGGTGGCTGATTTTTACATTTGAATCCTTTAAGGAAATGTTTTAATGATTTTTATAAAAATAAAAAAGTGAAATTCAAAAATACAGTTTTAAATTATAATATATTCAAAAATATTGCAATAAATAAATAAATTGATAAATAACCATAAATTTTTTTTTCCTGAACGTACTGCAATTTTGTTTTTACATACAATAACACTATTATTAAAAGTGAAAAATATTAATACAAATACAGGGCTCCAGACTAACTATTTCACTGTAGCCCCTGACTGAAAATGTTTAGGAGCACAAGCAGAAAATTTAGGGGCACACCTTAAATCAGCCTGCAATGCAATTGCTCACATATTGTCCCCATTTTAACTGTATTACTGACAGGTGCTTTGATAATAAATAGACTTAACTCATAGAGATTACAATGTGCATAAAATTAATATGGTTTTGCATTAATAAGTGCAGTTACTAATAATATTATTATTGTTCATTTCTTGTTTATTTCATGTTTATACACAATGTCACAGTCTTCAGCGGGTGTGCCCAGGATGGCCACCAGATGACACTGTGTTTT